GCTTTATGACATATTTTACCTTCAACAATTAAGCGTGCATTTCCAAGTTCCAACGTAAAGAGATATCCTCCATCTTTATCTTTCTTCCTCTTCACTGGACCTGGTAAAAATCCACCCAACTCATCAACACGATCCTAACTCGACCCTTAAAAAACGAGTTAGGGTCTACACATCTCAACCCGTAATCCGTAGATAACTCATATTATCAACCCATATGGGTCACAAGTCGGGTTAGGATTAACCCGCAAGTTGACGGGTTGACCCGCTTGTTTTATTTTTTATTATTATTTTTAAATATTATACTTATCATCCTTAATTAATTTTCTTATTGATAACTCGTTCCATTAATTAATACTCCCTCATTTCTAGCGAAAGAAGAAGAAATTATGATAAATTTGATCTAATTACCCAAGTATTATTATTATTATTATTTTGGTATTAACAATTACCCAAGTATCATGAATGAAATGATAATACAACTAAAAATATTAAAAGATGTGATGTTAGGACATAAACATAATAACTTATCAAAAGATGTTCTTGGAAGAGCAATTTCATCATTAAAAAAATGGATTAAACTACTTAATAATGTTTCAAGATGATTATAAAATTAAAACTTTATTTTTCAAGAAATTTAAATATTTTACGTTTAATATTTTTATTATTAATCAATTTATTATTATTTATAACATTTTTATTTTTTTCTTAATTTAAATGTTTGTAATTGAAATTATAAAATATTTAGTGTTAATGAATCACAATATTTTAATTATATTTAGATATATATAATTTTATTTATGTATAATAAAATTAACAAAAAAATAATTATAGCACCTGGCCCTTGAGACCTAGTGGCATTAGCCATCGGTGCATTTCCCCCCTCCCCCGGGCAGGGTTTGATACCCGCGCCCTTGCAAAATATGTTCAAAAAAAAAAACAAAAAACAAAAAATAATTATAAAAAATGAAATAAGGTTAACCAGCGGGTTAATCCGTAACCTGTTAGGGTCGAGTTAGAGTTGGATGTTTCCAACCCGCAACCCGTTTATAACCCAACCCGTTTATAACCCAACCCGTTTATAACCCAACCCGTCTAACCAGTCACCCGAGTTAACCCGACCCTAACCCGACCCAACCCGCCCGTTTGCTAGGTCTACTCTTCACACATTCTTTATCTCTTTTCTGCTTTTACATACGATGGACACGCACCA